AGTGTCTCTCCAGCCTGTCTCAAAGCCTGTGCTGTCCAGCTGTCATCCAACTTCACACTGATCTTCAACAGATCACTGGAGCTGTGTGAAGTCCCCTTCTGCTTCAAACGCTCCACCATCATCCCTGTACCCAAGAAACCAAAAATCACAGGGATAAATGACTACAGACCTGTTGCTTTAACATCTGTGGTCATGAAGTCATTTGAAAGACTGGTGTTGGCCTACTTAAAGGACATTACCGGACCCTTACTGGACCCCCTGCAGTTTACTTACTGAGCAAACAGGTCTGTGGATGATGCAGTCAACATGGGACTGCACAACATCCTGCAACATCTGGACAAACCAGGCACTTATGCAAGGATCCTGTTTGTGGACTTCAGCTCCACTTTCAACACCATCATCCCAGACACCCTTCAGAATAAACTGACCCAGCTCTCTGTACCCACCTCCATCTGTCAGTGGATCACCAGCTTCCTGACAGACAGGCAGCAGCTGGTGAGGCTGGGAAAACTCACATCCAACACCCGCACCATCAACACCGGAGCTCCTCAGGGTTCTGTCCTCTCCCCACTGCTCTTCTCCCTCTACACCAACGACTGCACCTCTAAAGACCCCGCTGTCAAGCTCCTGAAGTTTACGGACGACACTACAGTCATCGGTCTCATCCAGAATGGAGACGAATCTGCTTACAGACAGGAGGTTAAAGAGCTGGCTGTCTGGTGCAGTCACAAAATCCTGGAGCTGAACACGCTCAAAACAGTGGAGATGATTGTGGACTTCAGGAGAACCGCCCCACCCCCACCACCTCCCCCCAATCACCATCATGAACAGCACTGTGGCTGCAGTGGAGTCATTCAGGTTCCTGGGCACCAACATCTCTCAGGACCTGAAGTGGGACAATCACATTGACTCTATTGTGAAAAAGGCCCAGCAGAGGCTGTATTTCCTTTGCCAGCTGAAAAAGTTCAACCTGCCACAGGCACAGATGACACAGTTATACTCTGCTGTTATTGAATCGATTCTGTGCACTTCTATAACTCTCTGGTTTGGGTCAGCCAGCAGGTCAGACTTAAGAAGACTGCAGCGGACTGTTAGGACAGCTGAAAGGATCATTGGTGTGCACCTGCCCAACCTTCAGGACTTGTACATCTCCAAAGTGAAGAAATGTGTAGGTAACATCATCACAGACCCCTCTCACCCCGGACACAACCTGTTTGCACTTCTTCCTTCAGGCAGATGCTACAGATCTCTGTGCACTAGAACATCTAGGCATAAAAACAGTTTTCCCCCCATGCCATTAAACAGCTAACACAGAAATTGCCACCTGTCTTCTGTAATTCATTTCTTAATAATCTAAATTAATTATCAAATCTTTCACCTTCGACTTCCGGTTCGAGTGAACACTGGCGTGTTTGGCTGCCGCCGCTCTCCGGTATTTTATGTTATTTTATTTTTACTTTTTATTTTGCTTTCTATTTTACTTTGTACTGTCCTTGGAGCGAGGAGATCTCACCCGATCTCATCTGATTTTTGTGGAGCATTATTCCATTGCCTGCCCTGTTACGGTGTGCGGATTGAGGTGGTGGATCTGAATGAACTTGAACGTGGAGAACTAAATCCAGTTTGAAATGTGGTGCTATATCATCTGTGCACTGGTCTGCTGGAGTTTTACTGTTTGTTCTTCGAAGTGGGATCTGTTTTTCGTTCCCGGTGTGAACTGCTTTCCGAGCATGGTGCTTAAATACTCTTCATTGGATCTACAGAGACTAAATTCGCTCTACCGTCTTCCCGGCGAAATATACAACTGCTGTGCCGCACTGGGAATTATACGCTGCCCCAGGTACATCCATCGTGGATCTCGCCGTGATTTCCTTGTGAGGTCTGTGACTCCATCGCAGGATAATGAATATATCCTGGTCATTTGGTCGTCATATCGCCACTCTTCCATCGGATCAAATGCTAAGAGTCGGAGCATCAATTTTGGAAATATCACTTTGCTCAAAGACGCACCTCTCAGCTCTCGGCGGTCAGCCTGTACTACTACTGCTAAGATGGCCTTAGTGAATGCTAGGTCAATATCGAATAAATCTTTTATTCTAAATGACTTATTTACATCGCATTCATTAGACTTCTTATTTATTACTGAGACTTGGTTATAAATATGGTGACTTGATGCCTCTTGTTGAGATTGCTCCTCCAGACTGTGCATTTTTTAGTTCGCCACGGGCCTCTGGACATGGTGGTGGAGTTGCAACAGTTTTTAGAAGCTGTTTTAAATGTAAGACTGTGCCCACTGATACTTTCTCCAGTTTTGAAGTCCAGCTATTGAAGGTTGATGTAAAGGGGCCTGTACTATGTGCTTTGGTTTACAGACCCCCTAAATGGAATAAGGATTTTATTTGTCAATTTTCTGATTTTCTGTCTGATCTGGTGACTCGTGCTGATAGATTACTAATCATTGGGGATTTTAATATTCATTTTTGTTGTCCTTCGAAACCATTTTGTCAAGGAATTTGTAACTCTTTTAGAGTCACTGAATATTTAACAATATGTATGTGGCCCAACTCATAATTTGGGTCATACACTTGACTTGGTTTTGTCCCGTGGCCTTTTGATCTCAAACATGGAGGTTATTGAGGCATGTGTGTCTGATCATTATCCAGTTTTGTTTGAATCTGAATGCTTTTCTCCACCTACTTTCGGTCAGCATTCACATTTGTCTAGAGTTATTAATTCTAACACTGCAAATTTGTTTTCTGAATATTATTCTTTAAATGTTACCAATGATATCCTTAACGAAACTGATACTAAAGCTTGCTCTACATCTTTGGACACTGTTGCTCCGCTTAAGAATAAAAGGGTAAAGGGTGTTGGCCAGCCATGGTTAAATGAAACCACCCGCGCTCTTAGACAAGAGTGTCGGAAAGCAGAGCGAAAGTGGAAAAAAGATAAGCTACATGTTTCCTTTGATATCAAAGTTAAGTCTCTCTAATTATCAAATAGCAGTAAAACATGCAAAATCTAGTAATTTTTCTCAGTTAATTGCTGATAATGTGAATAGACCAAAAGCTTTGTTTGATATGACTGATTCTTTTTTAAACCCAACTATGAATTTATTATCTGAGGCCTCCTCAGAGCTTTGTGAGGATTTTTAAAAACAATTTTACTCAAAATATTGATGCTATCAGAACCTCCATTGCTCCTTCTGAATCACTTCATTTGCAATTGCCTTGTACCACAAGTTGTTTGTCTTCCTTTCAACCTGTTTTATCACATCAGTTAGATGATATTGTATGACCCAGCAATGTTCTGTAACTATCGGCCAATTTCTAAGTTGCCCTTTATCAGCAAGCTTTTGGAGAAAGTAGTGTTTTTACAACTTCAGTCTTTTTTGGATTCTTTTAGTGTTTTAGATGAGTTTCAATCTGGTTTTAGATCATTACACAGTACTGAGTCATCTCTATTGAGAGTTACAAATGACATGCTGCTTTCTCTGAATTCAGGTGCTTGTGTTGTGTTGGTATTTTTGGACCTGAGCGTGGCATTTGACACCATTGACCATAGCATTCTTCTTGATCGACTTGAATGTGTGGTAGGTATTCGAGGCACTGCATTAAAGTGGTTTGCCTCGTATCTCGAGAACAGGACTTTTTCTGTAAATTTAGGAAATGTTTTCACTTCCGCTGCACCTGTCTTGTGTGGAGTGCCCCAGGGATCCATTTTGGGACCTTTACTGTTTTCCCTTTATGTGGTTCCCTTGGCCCACATTTTTCAAAAATACAGTATTTCATATCATTGTTACGCGGATGATTCTTAGTTTTATCTACCAGTAAGGCTTGATACTGCTGTTTCATTTGATGTATTATTGAAATGTGTACATGATATTAAGAAATGGATGTCTAATAATTTCCTGCAGTTAAATGAGGATACAACCGAGGTTTTAATATTAGGTTGTCCTGCACATTTGTCACCTGCTTTGGAAGGTCAGTTAGGTCCACTTTCAACTAATGTACGCAAACAAATTAAAAACCTTGGAGTGATTTTTGACTCCTCTCTATTTTTTGATTAACAAATTAGTGCTGTTATTAGAGCATTTTTTTTCCATTTGAGATCTACTGCAAAGTTGAAGCATCTTCTTTCAAGGAAGGATATGGAAGTTGTGATTCATGCACTTGTTACATCTCGATTGGATTATTGTAACTCTCTTTATTCTGGTCTTCCTCAATCTTCAGTGTCACGATTGCAAGCTGTTCAAAATGCTGCGGCAAGACTTTTGACTGGGTCAAAAAAGAGGGATCACATTTCTCCTGTTTTATCATCCCTTCACTGGCTTCCCGTTAAATTCAGGGTTGATTTTAAAATTATTCTGTTTGTTTATAAGGCATTGTCTGGTTGCGCACCAAGTTATATCTCTGAACTTTTTGTGCCATATTGTCCTGCTAGGGTACTTAGATCTTCGAGTCACTTGCTTCTAACTGTACCACGGTGTCGGTACAAATCAAAGGGTGATCGGGCTTTTTCTGTGGTTGGCCCCAAGCTTTGGAATGGTCTACCCTATCATGTGAAATCTGCTCCTTCTCTGTACATTTTTAAGTCTAGACTTAAATCTTATTTTTACTCTTTAGCCTTTGTATGTGTGTAGCTGTTGTTTTTATTAGTAGATTTGTTTGATCACTGTACAGCACTTTGGATCAATTTAAATTATAAATAAATGTTGTTTGTTGTTAATAACTAATTATTGCGTCTCTCTCAAGTATTATGTAAATACATATACATACTTTTATTTATACAGCTGTATATACAGTAAATAATGCACAAATCTATACATAAATCTTCTGCTCCAGATTATACCACATTATTATTATTATTGATTTTTTTCCCTTAGTCTTACTTATTTAAATGTTCTTTCTGTTCTCATGTCATATATGCATGTATGTATGTATGTTTGTACCAAAAGCTCCTCAAAAAGTATAGTATAGTATTATATCAGTAACGCTCACCTGGAGACGGGTGTGACATAGTTTCCTGGGAAAACTCCAGACGCTCCGGAGCGCAGCGACGTGCCTTTGAACCAGCCGTCCTGACACTTCTCCATCACGCGGTACATCTCGCCCTTCCGCAGCTCCAGCTCATCCGCCTTCTGCGGTTTGTAAGCGTACATGGCCAGATATCTGCAGAGATGAAGAGAAAGATTCATGAGCGACGCATGTTCCTGAGGCAGTGTGTGTGTGTGTGTGTGTGTGTGTGTGTGTGGAGACTTGATCAGCTCTGACAGCAGCATTTTATTACATTGAGTCCAGAGTCTGTTATTAAAACACTGAGCGATTTCATTACAGCCGCATCAATCACAGGAAGAGCAGAAGAGCGGCTCAAAATATAGACCACTGACCTACTGATGGCCACAACACACACTGTACTCATCCTTCACACACACGCACACTCACACACACACACTGACTTTGAAAAAAAACACCATTTAGTACGTTTTTTAAGCCTTTTGAATTACAGAGACACAGGAAGTGTCCTCATAAACCACCTTCATATTGTAATACCTGTCATACCCATGTCATTATACAAATTTGTGTCCTCATAAACCACCCAAACCAGTGCACACACACACACACACACACATATAAAATGCATAGAAACGAGTTATTTTAAGTTGTTCTAAATGTGAAGTCCAGGTCTGCGTGGAGCAGCAGGAATAACAGTGACGGTTCAGCGCTGCATTAAATCATCATGACTCACATGTTGAGAGGCAGCTGGACTTTAGCCGCGGCGAGCAGCTCTCCGGTTGTTGACGTGACACGCGGTGGAACTAAAGCTGCTGCATTTGCTGCGACTGAAGAGTCCTGTGAAGACAGCGGATCAGACATATATATATATATATGTATATATGGAATAAACAAAACAAATAATACATTCCATTCCAAATATCACGTGACACACTTCACCTTTAAACTGAACTGATCGTTCTGAGCGTGTCTCTAATGGGCTCCTGCAGCTGAGGACAGGATGCATTATGGGAGTTGTAAATGCACATGATCCGTCTGTTTCACTCAGGCAAAACTCCAGAGATTCACCCTCACGGGTTCTCATGTTGACCTTTGACCTCAGAACACTAATGGAGCCCAACGCTCTTACTGGAACCAACCAGCTGAGCCCAGGTCAGAGGTCAAGAGGCCTATAACTCTAATATATATATATAGATATATATATATATATCCATAACTCTACATTTACTCTGACAAGGTGATCTGAATCAATCATTCATTATAGTCAAATAGATTCAACATGTTTCATAAATGAAGAAAAATACAGTAAAAATCAAGTTCAAATAATCAAGGCAGATGCATTTGATTTGATTGACTTAAAAACATGTTATCAAATCATCTGAACACACTCATAGTCACGAGACGAGGACGACTCGTGAAACTAGTCCAATCTTTCATGGGCCACTAAAAGATTTTAAAATCACAACAACAGGATCTGAATGGAGACATCAGGCCCTCAGGAGCCGTTCAGATTCATTAGAGACGCAGGAGAGGGTGAAGAGTTGAACAGGAACACACAGAAACGACTGTAATAACAAACACTAACACAACAAACCAAATAACATACAGACTCATCTTTACCACTGCAGCGAATGAATGAATGAATCAGTCTGACAGCAGTTCAAAACTAAAGACTCCAAACAGAGTTGAGACTGTTCAGACAGAATTCAATTTGTTCCCTTTTAATTATTAATTATTTAATTATTTTGGTTTTAATTCGGGTTTTAATTATTAAATTGAATTTCAGAATTCAAAAAGCATACCTAAGTAATTACAGTCATGAAACTTATCAAATTTAACAAATTAAAAAAGTTTAACAAAAATTGCATTTTTAGGGCCCTATTAAAATAATTTTGCTTCTTCCCAAATTCTGTTTTTTTATTCATTTTTTTCTGTTTAAATTTTTCTGGATTCCATTTAAATTGTTCTGGATTTGTATTTCCATTTTAATGGTTAAATTAAATTTTAGTTCAGTTTAACATGCCTAATTAGTTGAAATCGTGAAACTTTATTCAATTTAGCAACAATTTATTTAATGATGTTTGACAAAACTTGCATCTTTTAAGGCTCCATGAAACTTATTTTAATTTTTTTAGGTTTATTTTTCCTAAATTATGTGTTTTAATTTTTCTGGATTCTGTTTTAATTCTTAAATTGAATTTCAGAATTCAAGAAGCACACCTAAGTAATTAGTCATGAAACTGATCAAATTTAACAATTTATAAAAAGTTTTACAAAAATAGCATTTTTAGGGCCATATTAAATAAATTTTGCTTTTTCAAAAAAATTCTGCTTTTTAATTAATTTTTTTCAGTTTAAATTTTTCTGGATTCCATTTTAATTGTTCTGGATTTGTGTGTGTGTGTGCATAAGATCTTTGTCTGTACCTGTGTGGCCGGTGCGCTGGAGGACAGGTGTGGGCAGTCTGCGATGCGAGCGGCGGCGCGGGGGTCCGAGGAGCTGATGAGCACAGGTGCGCTGATCTCCATCGAGTGCCGGTTGTTTCCCAGCACCTGCGCCGAGCGCTGCGTCACGCTGAGCGCCGTGAATGAGTGCCGCTTCTTGGCATTCTTCTTCCCCTCGGCGTGTCTGTGCACGGCGTTCCCGTTACAGCTGACGGCGGCGGGAGACTCTGCGCTCGGACCCGGGGCCGCGGACGGTTTGTCCATCTCCATCAGCTGCTTCGCCGTTTCATTCAGCTGAGGACAAACACCGGAATCCACACAGTTATTATTTTACACTTACATCAATAGTCTCTTCTGCTCAGTTGTGCTGCCCAATATTTTTGCGGAAACTGTGATACACTCAAAAGAAATTAATACTTCAAGGCTGCATTAAATTGATCAAAAGTGCCAGTAAAGACATTTATAATGTTACAAAAGATTTCTATTTCAAATAAATGTTGTTCTTTTGAACTTTCTGTTCATCTGTGAATCCTGAAACCAAAAAATGTAGTGCGAGTAGAGTAAAAGTACTTGTCCAAAAAACTACTTGAGTAAGAGTAAAAGAGTAGCCTATTTAAAAGTACTGATGAGTATTGAGTAGTGAGTACTGAGCTGTGGATTCTACCCCCTCATAATAAACGCTGTACACCGCAATTTATACATTTTAAAAACGTTGTACATTCTGTAATTCATATTATCTTGTTTGTCATAAAGAATGAAGAATATCTTTCATCCAGCAGTTTTAATTTTGACTGCCAACTCTTTAAAATACATTAAAACAGCACGGAAACAGTATTCAGTTGAAGAAAAGATGAAAGTTATTCTCAGTACAATCATCCCCATTTAAATCAGAGTTTGAAAAAATAGATTTAAAATCACGTGTAAGGCCACTGAGACAGCACCCTGCTGTTGCACATAAAATATTCATGTTTAGAACAGTGCAAATACAAAAACTATTAGAAACTCATAGTTCAGCATCACACACCATGATATGGGTTAAAATGAGAGCCCATTTCTCTCCAAAACGGTGCCAGTTTTAGCGTTTTGCAATAAAGAAATAAGAATAACTAAACTTGATAATTTATGTTACAATTTTAACATAAATGCACATTGTTCTAGAAGGATGGCATCATGCCCTACCTTTTACACATTTACTCGAATTGTGATGCTGATAATACAATTTGTAAGGAAAAATGCATTAAATAGCAGAGTATTTCTGGGGAAACTGTTTCAAAGGAAAACACACTGCAGAACGCACGCGAGAGAGAGACGAGGCAGCGCAGATCGCGTCTTTTTAAGTGAGTGGGGATTTACAGAACTTGCAGGAGTTAACACTGTATGCAATACCGGCAACCTCACACCAAATTTCAGGCCGTGTAGATAGGACAACTACTTAATTACTGTAACGCGAGTATTTGTAATTCGTTACTTCACACCCCTGGTAATATATAATATAATACAATAGTAATATATTTCTGCTACAATTTCTTCAAGTTAAAGCAAACTTTTATTTTGGCGGGTTGTAGTGAAGAGCTTTGAGTTTCCATGTGTACAGTTGTTTCTTCGTTTTGTCCTTTCTCCAATCAAACTTAGTAACATTGCTTTAATTGATAATGAATTTACAGCTCTCCCCTGAGTCCTCAATGTCAAGACTATGACTAACTAAAGCCAATGGCATCATCTGGCAGGAAGTGACATCATTTTGGTGGGAAACTGACATCAGTAGGTATCACTGGATTTGATGAATTCTGTGATGTTTTGCTTTGCTTCCCTTAAAACAACAGAAATCATTATGACAGATTGTCCTACTATAATAATGAAAGCAGCATGCAAATGTGTTTTATGTAAACTGACTAAACTGATGTTTTGATGAATAGAAACACAAACAAAAGCAGACGTGATGGTGTGCAGCGAACAAACAGATCAAAAGTGACTGGAGCCCTTTGTTTCAACTCACAGTCCTGCATTCATAAATATGCTAATAATATGCAAATAGCATGCAAATGAGGATGATTGATGGACCCCACAGACGTGGCGCGGGTCTCTGCGGACGAACACCGAGGCCTTCTGAAGGTCATAATATTATTACTCTGACATGAGGTGGTCAGAGCAAATTAATTGCATGCATAATACGCGTGCGGACACGTTACAACGGATCTGACATCACAATCAGTTTGAGACAAAGACCAGGAAATAACGAGCACTGACATCACACGTGTATTTGTGGAAATAACCGTAATGATCGTGTGATTAGTGACGTGATTGTTGTTTCTGGTGGGTCACGTTACTCACGTTCACCGGTTCGTTAGGATCCCGGCGCGCGGGAGCTCGTTAGCACAGTCGTGAACTTTGAAATGTGGTTAATATAGGTCAAGCTCTGGCTTCAGTCGCGCGGGGAAGTGAGAGCTCAGACGCCTCGCCGCGTGCAGGGTGCTGCTAATTGTGCTAATAATAGAGCCCATCACTGCGGTGTAATTACAGCACGGGAAGACGACAAAAAGAAAATCACAAAGCGGCAAATGTGCAGCGGAATAATGACAGGCTGTCAGACGCGTACAGAAATAACTCATAGCGTGAGTCGCACGAGCACGATCTGAGGGAATAAAGCCTGCGCTATCAACAGCTATTGTGTCAAGTCTGTTTTAACATGTAGACTTCATGTGCATGAGTGCGTGTGTGTGTGTGTGTATAAGAGCATGTGAGAGTGTGTATAAGTGGGTGTGTATGTGTGTATATGTGAGTGTATAAGTGCGCATGTATGTGTGTGTGTGTGTGTGTACAAGTGTATGTGAGTATGTGTGTGTTTGTTTAAGTGTGTGTGTGTGTGTGTGTAAGTGCACGTAAGTGTGTGAGTGTATAAGTGCAAGTGAGTGCGTGTATGTGTGTGTTTGCATGTGTGAGTTTGTATAAGTGTGTGTGTGCGCATCTGTGTGAGTTTGTATAATTGCACGTGAGTGTGCATGTGTTTGAGTGTATAAAAGTGTGTATGTATGTATGGGAGTGTGTGTGTGTGTGTATAAGTGCACGTGAGTGTGCATGTGAGTGTGCATAAGTGCACGTGAGTGTGCATGTGTGTGTATAAGTGTGTGAGTGTGTATAAGTGTGTGTGAGTATGAGTGCGTGAGTCTGCGAATGTGTGTATAAGTGCATGTCAGTGTGCGTGTGTGTATAAGTGTGTGTGTGTGTGTGTGTATAAGTACACGTATGAGTGTGTATAAGTGTGTGTGAGTATGTGTGTGTGTGTATAAGTGCATGTAAGTGTGCATTTGTGTGCATAAGTGTGTGAGTGTGTGAGTATGAGTGCGTGAGTGTGCGTGTGTGTGTATAAGTGCACGTAAGTGTGCATGTGTATGTATAAGTGTGTGTGTGTGTATAAGTGCATGTAAGTGTGCATGTGTGTGTATAAGTGTGTGTGAGTGTGTATAAGTGCACGTGTGAGTGTGTATAAGTGTGTGTGAGTGAGTATGAGTGAGTATGAGTGTCTGTGAGTGTGCATGTGTGTGTGCATGTTTGTGTGAGTGCATATGAGCGTGCATGTGTGTATGGGAGTGTGTGTGAGTGTGAACGTGTGTGTGCGTGTCTGTGTGTATTTTATGAAGCTGTAAGCAGCGTCTGTGACTGTGAGCATCTTTCTCTTCACCATGATCTCAACACGGAAATCTCAGATCCTGCTTTGTTCACTTCAGCATTTAAATGAGAGTTTGCGGCAGACAGACACGCTATCATCACAAAACCTGCAGAACATCCAAAGAATTTAATAAAAAATGAAGCTGGTTTTAGGAAAATTTGCATTGCAGCGTTAACTTTCTCATTACTGCACTACAAAGATAAAGAAATAGACACATTAACAAACAACTTATCATAAAAAATTATAAAATAAATTTTTTCCTATTTTCAGCTTCATATTCTTCATGCATTTTCTTTCTTTATTTATTTTTTCATTTGATTGATTGATCAAGCTCCAGTCATATCCCAGCATTCCCTGCAGTGCTCCACGTCACACTTTACAGCACAATAAAACACCAGTGAAAAGATACCAGATCAGATCAAGCCAAGGAGCTCGATTACACCATTTACATCATTAAAACGTGAGCGTGATTGAGCCTCATCCCAGCGTGAGCCACGAGGACAGATTTTAAATGAGGTGAAGAGGAGAAAAATGATAAACATCATTTATTTTCCCATTTTCATCCGGTGATCGCGGGGGCAGAGGAGATCGAGTTCCTGCACTAATCAGTCTGACAGAAATCCATGAATTATGAGCCAAATGAGCAAAGTTCAGCTGATGAGGTTCAGAAGAAATAAAGCACCGGCAGCAGCTAATGATCAGAGAGTGAACGATTAAAGGAATAGTTCACCCAAAAATAAACACACTGATGCAATGCTACATTTCTACAAACCTGATGAAGAAACAAACTCATACTAATCTCGGATGCACATTTTCATCAAATGTTCATTTTTTGGTGAACTATTCCTTTAAATGCTGTGAAAATAATATTTTAAAATGTTTGTTTTTTAAGGGCATTTCTCATCATACTGTTATTCTTTAAATGTGCATCACACAGACAATGCATTTATCAAAACAGCATATGTTTAATTCATGATAAATATCCCTGACCTGCTAAAGGACATCAGAACATCTCTCCTGTCCAATCATGCTCTTAAAATCAATACACATTACCCATAATGCATCACTTCCAGGTTTCTGAGACGACACACACCTGCTTCTCAGAGTCTCAATCCCGCACAAGTGGCTCATTGTTGTATTTTATAATGAATTATCTGTAAGTGATTCAACCTTGAAACTCTAAAGCAGCCGACATAATGCAGCAGTCCAGTGTGCTTTTCTTCAGCTTCATTATATTTAAAGGAAAGCCTTTAACACACACACACACACACACACACACACACACTCACTCAAGTGCACGTACCTCCACGTATAAGATAGGAAAAATCCCGATCTTATCTCCCAGCATGCCTTCTGCCCAGTTATCGTCCACTCTTCGTATGACGGTGAGAATCTCGTCCTGTGAGAGAGGAAATGCATGAAGTTTCACTGTTTTATTCTGCCGCTGTAGAAATGCATTGAGAAGAGTCACCAAGGTAAATCACATTTTAATATCAGAATGAGAAAAAAATCAACCAGTGCATATTAAATATTCAGATTTATTTGTGACCCTGCAGCACAAAAGCAGTGGGATTCCAGATTTTCAAATATTGTCCTATCCTAACAAACCATACATCAATGGAAAGATTATTTATTCAACCTTCAGATGATGCATAAATCTCATTTTCAAAAAATTGACCCTTATGACTGGTTTTGTGCTCCAGGGTCACATATTAGCAGTATAATCTCACTATGTGTATGTAGAAAACTAAACAGTGTATCTGTATCATATAGAAGTGTGTTTACACCACAGAAAAGTTCACCTCACAATTCTGACTTATTTTCCTCACAATTGCAAATTGGAAACTTTTATAACTTATAAAATTTCTTATAACTTGCACATCACAATTCTGAATTTTTTCTATGAATTCTGAGTTTTATATCTCGGAATAAAAAATTAAAAAGGTAACTGTGATTTCATCCGTAAAGCAGCTCGACAGAAGACAATAGTGTCAATTATTCAGATCAATTCAGTTTATTAACAGTGTTAATGTCGCAAAATTCATCAATTTTGAAACAAATTCAGCTGTAAAGCAGCTCTAGAATTATTATAGTTAACAAAAGCTAAATTTGAAGCCATTACAAATTGTTATTGAAATAAAATAAATGTTAACTGAAACAAAAAAATTGAATTTCTTTAGTTTAAGTTTAGTTTAATTTTAGACTAATTTAAACAATTTTGTTTAAATGGATGTACTAAATAACTAAAATTAAAAACTATACAGACAAAAAAACTACTAAAAATGACAAAAACACACAACAAAATTACTAAAACTTAAACTAAAATTAAAATGGAAAATAAAGAAATAAAAACTGATTCAAAATATTAATGAATCTATAATAGTATTTTAATGATATTAGAATAACACTGAGCAGCTCTACAAAAGCTAATAGAGTATATTCAGATCAATTCAGTGTTGATTCAATTCAGTTCAGTAACAGTTGAACTTCAGTTGAATCAGACTAACTTACAGTGACTCTGAACTTGAATCTGATTATCTGACCATCACACAGCATCTGTGCATTAATATCTGTATCTCTATGAATGTGATCATACAGAAGCCGAAGCAGCTGGACTTATACAAAGAACTCATCTGAATTGATTCACATCAAGCTTCACTTCAGCGTGAGTCAAACGAGACTCAATCAAGCGTCTATTAATGAGTGTTTTAGCATGCAGATCTCTCTCTTCCTCTATGAAAGGACTTTCTTCTCTGTGTTTTCGGGACTCATCTTTCCGGTTCCTGCGTCTGGAGGACAGAGGCTGCTTGTGGCAGTAATGCATTCAGACGTCTGAACGCTGCAGCTGCGCGACACAGAACCCAGACACACATTCCGCCATTATTCACTCTCTTATATCACTCTCCCTCGTGACTGACTTTCTTCTGCGGAACATTAAAGAAGAGATTTTGAAAAAAAAAAATTATAATTTCCATACAATGAAAGTCAATGGGGACCAAACTATGTATGGGTGATATGAAATCTTTAGTTTTTTTTTTAGTTTATTTCATTTATTTGTACAGGGACAACGCACAACAACAGTGTTGTGCCAGAGTTAGCTATAAAGCTAATTTGCATCTGCAATCCCTTAGCAGGATGTTGTTACAAAATTACAATTTTAAAGGGGTCCTATTATGCTTTTTCACTTTTTCAACTTTAGTTAGTCTGTAATGTTGCTGTTTGAGCATAAAAAATATCTGCAAAGTTACAAAGCTCAAAGTCCAATTCAAAAGGAGATATTTTATTTAACAGAAATCACTTTTCAAAAACTACAACGAAC